TCCTCGMTATATTTACAGACTTTTCAGACCCTCTAGAWCAGTGGTTCCCAAACTTTTTRTCTTCTGACCCACAAAATATTCATGGCAAAAACTTGTGACCCCAAATATTACTGGTCTGAGTACACAAACTTCATTAATAACCCTAAAAACACAGGCTTTTTGACAATCTAAACAGCTTGTACACAAATATAAATACTAATTTATCCTTMTTTTGTGTTTCTGTAATAGTTATAGGGAAAATATTACATCAACAATTATTTTATTACCCTTTAAATTGATTTCTGGAGATTATCCAAGGTGCTTCATGACCCATAATTGGGTCCCAAGACCAGCTTTGGGAACCAAAGTGCAGTGGTTCCCAAACTTTTCAGCTTTTGACCCACAAAATAACAGCAGCAGAGACCTGTGCCCCCAGATATTTTTGGATGTTGAACATTTGTATCAGGTCAACTAAACATGGGCATAGTAACAATATTTTTATACTACATTTATCCATTTTAAATACACTAACCTCACTCCTTTGTAACAACTAAGGCAAAATGTAATTAATTCAGAAAATCTTTTCAGGACCCCACTTTGGGTCCCGACCCCAGCTTTGGGAAACACTGGTCTAGAGACTGTTACTCAGAAAAGAAACTAGTGAAAATCTAGCGACTCTTTTTCTGGTGTTTTTTTTTTTTTTTGCTCAGTATGTACTCAATTTATTTCTTGACTAATCAAAAGTACAATAAACTACAATGATTTGTTCTTTTCCTGATTTCAHTTTAACTTTGCCTATAATTTACATTTTATTCTAGTCATTTTATCTAACATTTCTTTTTATGTGCAGCATTTCCCCAGACTCCATGTTTTGTTCTTGTTTACAATAAAGCTTTTGTAAAAAAAAGAAAAGCAGACACTCAACAGTGCTTTTTAACTTTATTAAAAACAAAAGAAAGTGCAGTTTGTTGAATACAGAGCACACTGTGAGCTGAGCAGGATGTATTTGTAAATTTGAGCCTCTYTAGAACGTAACTTGGGTGTGTACGATAATTTTTCTCAAAATACGATAATTTTGAGCTGCTGATACGATAATTCAATATTTCCCATCTGGCAACACTGCTGCACAGACAGAATAAATTTGTGTTTGTATCAACGATGTGAGGTTTTAGTATCAGTCCCTCTGAACTCCGTCTAACTCACCGTAAATAAAACTGACTCAACTGAGCATCAAGTTCTGAGCTGGATTTAAACGGACTGAGTGATGTTTCACAGAGTGACATTTTGTTAGATTATCTCAGAAATCCAACACCGAATGTTCCTGCAGCTGCGTGAATCACGGATCAGACGCCTGTCCGTCAAACGGGACGGAGGCCAAAACGCCCCAGCCGCCCCTCTTCGGGGCTCGGTCTGAAAGGTCGGAGAGTCCGGTGATGTGAGCGCTCTGACAGGTCCAGGGATGATGTCACCCCTCACCTCCTCGACTCCTTCAGCTCTCCGGCCTCTCATCTTCAGCTGCGTGAGGCTCAATCAGCTGCAAAATCACCTCTTTCTTTCTGAAACTCTTCTTCAAACATCAGATTCTTACCTTTYGGTCTCACTTTGTCGTCTTTTTCTGTCATCAGTCGTCTTTTAGCTTTTTTCAGTCTTCACTGACAGCGCTGCTTTTCTTACAAGCAAAGTTAAAACATCACAAGACCCTATAAATAAAATAAAAGCAATAAAATGGTGAAATAAAAGGAACATTTCTGCTCTGGTATAAGTTGAATAATTATTTAGGTCAACCCGATTAAAAATTGCCGCCACAGCCAACTTTGAAAACACAAAAGTGGCAAAAGTCAGTCATTTTTAGAAATAATGAACTAAAATCTATAATAAGATGAAACAAACAAATTTGCTTTTTTAAAAATGCAATGGCCGCCGCCACTGCAGGGGCGGAGTTAGTTTTTTTTTGTTTAAGGCGTGTCACAGGGGTGTTTTTTGCACAAATCAATGAAGAAAAGCACTTTGGATTTGTAAACTCAAGGTGGCTGCCTCAACAAATTTAAAATGGCATTAATTCAGCTGTTTTAAAAAACACTGAGCTGACATTTTGTGTGATCGTAGCTAAAAATAGTCCAAACAACCTGCTAAATGCTAATCACCACTAAAGTTAGTGTAGAAGTAGCTGAAAACAATCAAACTCAAGATGGCCGCCACAGCTAACTTTAAAGGGTTAAAATTCTGCTGTTTTAAGACTCATTGAGATGAAATTTGTTGTGGAGTAGCTAACCTCTAATTTACACTAGACGCGGTTCCTCCCTGCTCCGGTTCGGTCCAACCTCCGCAGCAAAYACACAACCGCTCTAATYAGAGTATTTACACTGGCTCCACACGGCGGCAGGGAGCGCCAAAATTAGATTCAATTATATTTTTGTTGGACGTCGAAGCCGCTCCGGAGCCCATTTACAAAGATCACGTCCACCAACAGGAAAAGGAACAAGCACAACATCCGTATTTTCAAAATAATTCACAAAAGGTAGACTAATTTTGCAGAAATTGCAGCTATAAATAAATATAATATTTTTCTACACAAATATTGTCAGAATGTATTGTTCTGTTAGGGAAGCACATGCAGCACATGATGCACAAGGATTTTATTTTGAAATCAGACATTTCAAAAAGACAACAGCGATGCAATGAGTTATTTTGCTCTGACTTCCACATTTATCACTGGATTTATCTTCCTGCTCACATTTCTCTGACCTCCTCTGTGCTTCATAACAGAGAGTGGAGGCTGTATAAACTGTGAACTGCATCTAGTGTAAATGAGTGGTAAGGTTGATAACTTGCTGATTGCCAATGCTAATCCCAAATTAAGCTAGCCACTAATGCTAATTTTACAAAGAACTAAAATTCAGCCATTTTTAAACAGTAGCGATAATTATCAGAGAAAAATCTTTGACAAAATCTAAATCAAAATACAAAATCCCACTCACTTGTCAAATATTTGGGGGTGGCACCTGGGGTGGCCTATCAAATGCCACCCTGCCCACCCCTCTAGCTCCGCCTCTGCACCACAGTTTTTAATCATTTTATTTTTTATTTCAAACTTTATTCATTTCTTTAAAAAAACAAAAGTAATTCTATGCACAATAAGAAAAGAAAACACAAATAAAATGAAATGAAACCTAATAAAGCTTATTCTGGAACTTWTGTAGTTTTTCTTTGCTGTGCGCCTTTAGTAGACCATCAGACTTTGAATTTTATCTCTCCCCCCACCCAAATCTGACATCAGGTTTGATGTTTTTTATTTCTTACARCCCTTCAGTGTTCCCGGTGTCAGTTTGCTGAGAGGTACCAGCCTTTGCTTCCTGATGGTGCAGTCCCTCTGCAGTCAGAGTCCTCCTGGAGACAGTAAATTACTTTCTGCCTCTCCTTCTCCGCATCCCGTTAAACCCGGAGCCTCGTCCTTTGGCTTCTCTTAAAGCAGCTTTAACTCAGCCCCTCTGGGAGAGGAGGGCGCAGAAATCAAACATTCGTTGGGGAAGATGCTGAAGCGTCATCCAGAACTATAAATATGGAAATGGATCAATGAATTCATTTTTCCTCTTTTTAATAAATCAAGATGTGATTTGATCYGTTCAGATGTGTTGGACTTTAAAGGRCCTGTGACATTAAATWTTTTGTAAYAAACATGAATGCATTTTTGAAAACAGAACATTARTAAAATACTGCAAAACAAATTTMACGCCCCTGAGATGAACATTTGTTGAGATATTCMCACGTGAAGAAACAGGAAGTGATGTCRGAGGGGAATGTCTGCACGTAAACAGAGTGTTGTTACAACAGCTGATAACACAGACTAGAGAAGAATCTGATGTTTCTTTAGATTATTTTGAGTCACTATCAAACACAGATGAAGAAGAGTTAAAGTTTAAATGATCTAATAAACAAAGACCAGAGAGTTAATTTTATTAATGAGTTCCYCTTTGATGTCACTTCCTGTTTCACTTTGGCTGAGCCAAATTTAAAAGAAAACAGGCCAGTTATGTGACAAAATGAATAAAATCATGTGTATCATGCCAGGTTTCTTATAAAAATGTTTTCTTTGAGTTTTTGTATTTGAAGTATGTGCATGTCTCAGGTACTTTAACATAAATAAACTGTTAAATGCAGACATGCATGTTTGTTTTTTGCTTTAAATATTTCCTAGAAACTCCAGAATAGTTTAGTTTCATGCTTTCRCACATTCAGTACTTCTAAATAATTAGTAAAACAATAAAGGTTGAAAAGATATCTCATAAAAAACAGGATGGTTTTTATTGAAACTGTGCATGTATAAATTCAACAACAGCTATACAGTTAATTTTTGCAGATTTTAAAGTAAAGTTTAGTGTGAAAGTTGCTGAGAATCCTCCACTTGATTCAACCCTGTCTGAAAACATCTCGTTAGTTAATCCTTCTTGAGAAAGAAATTATTTTATTTAGTTGAAGATTGCTGACTCAGCAAATCATCCAGTTAACATTCAGCRGAACGCCCGYGTGCCATTTTTGTTTMGTTTTATTTTGTAATRTYGTTTCTGTGTTTTCCTTCAACCTGTGTCCATGTTCAATGCATCAAATTAACATCTAGGCTCTCCTCTTTCAATTGACACCTGATTTGACCAACTGGGTTCAAGTATCGGCTGTCCAGAGCCAATAAAAAATGAGAAGTGACCAACTTCCGGTTTCCATCATCCTGGGTTTGATTGACTGTAGATTCAGCCAATCAGCTYCGAGCTTTGTTCTGATGTCGCAGCTGTGTAGCCAATCCCCGCACCTTTCATTTGTTGTATATATTGAGGGGGTGGGAACTTTGTTTCGAGGTAAATATGGAGTAGGTGGCCATATTTAGACAGTCCTGCTGTGCTACCGAAGGAAGCTACGCTCACAGGAAAACATTTTTTTCATCATTTTTTGGCCAGTTAGCTGACTAAACCTGCTGATAATATGAAAATATATTTGTTATTAAGTGTTTCGAGTGCTTCAAGACATGGAAGAGTGATTTTTGTGGCCAGGAGAAGTATTTTGTTTGGATAAAAACACTTCCGGTCGGCCATTTTGAATCGCTAATATCGTCATATTTGAGGATAAATATGCATCAAATGTAAGTAAAAAACAAATATTTTTTCACTGCTGGTGGTTTTATAAGCTGTGTGGACTTTTAATACTCTGAAAGAAATAAGGATATATTTGTTTATTCTTAGTTTGGCTGTTTATTGGTGGAAATTTGGCTGAATGGACTCAAGTTGGAGTAAATATTTCTGAATAATAATATATATATTTTAATTTAATCATGCTGTGAGTAAATATAGATGGTAAAATGTGTTTTGTGGGGGTTTTATCTTTAATTTGAGCCCAGAAAGTCTCTGTGTTGAAACATTTAGAAATTAGTGTTTTAGACAAACTGTACAGTCTGGACATGTTGTACAAGTGTACAAATATGCAAATGAGACATGCTGGATTGTACTATGTCTCAAATATTCATATTTTATGCTACTGTTACCAAATTTGAACTGGTAATAGTTGGGAATTAATATTTTACCCCAGTAAAAATTGTTTATTGATATCTCATTCCCTTCATGTTCTCTGATACTTCATTAATAAAAAAAATTACAAATTTAGGGAGAAAAATATCTTGATTTTTGTGTATTTTACTTCAATATATTAATCAGGGGTGCCCAAACTTATTACCTGAGAGGGCCAAAATGAAAATCTACCCAAGAGCTGCGGTCCAAATGCAATAATAGAGGAAACGCATACTGTATACTGCTTAAGTCTTTTTATGATGAAGCCAAGAGCCAGTGCAGTGGCCCACATTTTGTTTGTGTTTTTAATTCGAACACTTGCTCAGGCAGCAAAGCTTCATGGAACATTTCATATGTTGATAAAATATGAGTAGTCTTATAAATTTTTCAAATCTTCATGTGTGCTTAAATCTAATGTAAATATCTTCTTTGGTTTCTTGTATTTTATATTTAATCTTAATATAATTCAGCAGCAAAGTCGGCTATCTATACAGTCCTTTATTTAGTCATTGGGCCACTGGATGTAATTACTGTACATGGAAATACAATCTACAGAGGATGACAGGCAATTAAAAACTACTGGTGGGCCAAATCAAATGGCTTGGCGGGCCAATTTTGGCCCACAGGCCTCACTTTGGGCACCTCTGTACTAAATACTAGTTACAGTTACAAAGAATGACTGCTGAAGTTAAAAACTCTGATAATTAGCTTTAAAAAGAGACCAAGCTTGTGCAGTTCTTCATTAAATTTGTGTGCTTTTTAATGTGTTTTATGGTATTTTAGGCCCGAATGTTAAAAGTAAATTTTGATTGAATTAGAGTCTTTTTTTGTGTTTTTTTGAATCTTTTAAATAGGGATGACATAAAACGATGACTTTCTTGGAGTTTTGCTGAATTTTTCCTGCGGTTCTGGAGGTATTTTGCTAACAGACTGATGCTGTGTTGTGAATAACTCTTCGCTYCTGTCGTCTGTGCGATGTGTTAACGCCAGCTGCAGCCATCATACATGTGGCCTGTTTGTGTTAAAGCTCACATTAACACGTCTGAGCGCAGCGCTCCGTCCTGCCTGTCAGATCCCAGCATCGTCGCCGCCACACGTTTCAGATGCAAAGCAACAACAGTGCTGCAGTGTAATTGCTATTCAGCAAATATCTGAATGTGCCTCAGCTGCGGCGTGCACGCTCGTAAAACCCCCACCTCCTCGCTGGAACTGCTGCTCKGAGACAGACGGGAGGATTACTCTCCTGCTCTTATAGCCTGAGAATAAAACCAAAGAGTAATAAAAGTCATCTTTAAAAATTTCATGTGGGCTGAGAGAGAGTGGAGACTGTGGGAGGAGTGTGTGTCTGTGTGTGTGTGTGTGTGTTTGAATGGTAAATTATTCCGGTCATTAAGCTGCATCAGCACCTGTGTGTCACGGCTTTGTGCACCGACGGTGTAGAAGTGTGAATATGATGAGTTATAACATCACGTGTCGATGCATGAAGAAACATGTTTTATTGTGTGTGGCTCTGGGAGATTAGATTTTCTTTCGTTGTTGTTTATAATCTGCTCACCAAACATGATGTGTTTGTTTAGACACAACGTCAATGCTGCCTTCACAGATGTGATAGTTACTCACCAATGCACCCCCATACCATTAGAGAGGCTGGCTTTTGAACTTTGCGCTGAAAACAATCCAGACAGTGTTTTTTTTTTTGGCCCGGAGGACACCTCGTCCATGATTTCAAAAAACAATTTSAAATGTGTTTGTTCTTGGTGTGGGCGGAGTTTGCCCTAATCGTGATTGGT